GCGGCGGGAAGGGGGCGGGCGCCGGGGACCCGCCAGGGGGCAGCTCGGCAGCGGGAGGAGCTGCCCGGCTTGCCTGGCGTCTGCACCCGCGCCAGCGCGTAGGCGGCGGGCCCAGGACTTCCGGCTAGTGCAGCCGGTGCGCAGGGGTGAGGGTCCGGGGCCTGGGAGTATCCCGAGGGGTGCACTGGAACGGATGGAACGATCCTTGGTGCCCCTTGGGCGGGGGTAGTCAGCGAGGAGCCTGGGAAGAGTCCTGAACCGTGAGTGCAGGGACCTAGCTGGGCCCCAGCTCTGCCACCGTCTCGCGTCGCAGCCTTGGGCAAGCCCTTCTCCTGAGCTTCGTCCCTCAGCGAAAAGAAGGGGGTCAGTCGAGCTGACCTCCGAGGCCATTCCTAGGCCAGGCCCAGGGCACCTCAGGCCTTCTGGGACCCTTAGGGAGGAGGGCAGGATTGGTTTGGCTTTCTTTGAGTCCGTGAGACTTGAGAGCAGTTAAGGGACTTACTGTGTCCAGAGACGTGTGACAAAGGCCAGGACGTTTTCTGGGGCCTGTGAGCAAATGCCATCCACGACACCAAACGGAGCCACCATTGACGAAATACTTTTTAGGGGTTCCATACGTGTGTGATTTCTAACCTCAGGACAGCTTCATTCGTTAGGATTTATCTCCATGTTGCAGATGAGGAAACTGAGGCTGAGAGAGGTTCAGTAACAGCTGGGAAGTAGCAGAACCCGGGCTGGACCCAGGCATTAGCTTAGCCCACTCTTCCTCACCTGTGCCTGGACTTTGATGAAGTGGTCCAGACTTTGTGCTTTAGAAGGAGTGGTTTGTTACCTTAGGATAATGGTTCTCAAGCCATTGGGTGCATGCATCAGAATAACTTGGGAGGCTGTATCCCCAGGGTTTCTGATCTAGAAGGTCTGGAGTGGGGTCGAGATTTTGGGTGTCCAGCAAGTTCCCAGGTGATGCTGCTGGTCTGGAAACCTCACTTCGGGACTCATTGATTGGGCTGAAGGTTGGGGGTTCAAGTTTGGCATATGATCGCTGGTGCTTTTACATTTTCCTTTTATACCTGAGGTTCCTGGTTGGGATTTCCCAAAGTTATTTTTGCCACCTTCAGATGAGGACAGCAGCCGTCAGCTAAACAGACAAGCCATCTGTTGTGTCATCAGAGGCACTATCAGTTGCTATCAGATGGGCAGGAGCAAGTTAGCAGCCCCAGGCGTTGCTGACTATTCTTCAGAGGCCTCCAGGCAGTCCTTCATTCATTGTGGTCACGTGCTGATGGAGGCCCCAGCTAGGAGAACCAAGGCAGGAAAGTGACCAGAAATGCAGAGAAAGTAGGATTTTAGAGCAGAGACAGGCCTTTAAAAGATTCTGTCTGCACTTCCCCTTTCTCCTGTGTGGGAGTTGGGGAAACTGAAGCCCTGTCCAAACCACACATAATTACTATTATGTGAGTTTCCTTTCTTCCCAGCTTAGATTCCAGGTGACCCAAGAACAGGCCAGATTCTGTGTGTTCAGATCCTGCTCTGGTACATTCTTCTGCAATTGATAACATGTTTTGTTTGCATGCCAGGTGTTCCAAGTAGAAAAGCCAGAGCCTCTGCAAAGAGGATTGTATTTTTAGTCTTATGACCCCCTGCTCTCACTGAAGATAAGTAGAGGCAGCCAACCTGACTAGAAAATTCCTTTAAAAATCCTTTTTGATTGCTACTGCCGCTGCCCTAATTGAGGCACTCTCTTGAATTGACAGCACACAACAACAACTCTTGAACTGTTAGGAACGCCAAGGGATATAGTTCCCCAGTCATTTAAGAGAAACCCAGGGCTCAGAGAGGCCAAGTGGTTTGCCCAATGCCACCTAGCTAGGAAACGAAAAAGCAGGGCTCTAATCACGTTCTCTGATTTCAAATCCTGTGCTGCTTCTGCTCCCAGGTGTTGGGTCTGGTCCCTGAGGAAAACCGTGTGTGTATGTTTCGGGAGAGGATGGGCAGCGAAAGAAGGAAGAAACTGAGTACCCACTGTGTGTCAGGGTTGTATTGGATGCTTTATATTTGCAAACATGATTATTCCACCAAAGCCTCCTAAGTTTATTAAGTTTGGCATTGTTATCCCATTTCACAGATGAAGAAGTAGTTTCAGAGAAGGTAACTTGCCCAGGGTCACGCAGCTGGTAATGAGTGGATTTAAACCAGGGCCCTAACTCTTCTCTTGATCACTTTGCCTAGGGCAGGGAGACATGGGGTTACCACTGGTTAAAGGGGGCCTAGTCAATTGCAGTCCTGTAAATGATATAACATGGAGCCTGGCACTTTACAAGTACTCATTAAATGTCAGCTTTCTTCATTTCTAACTCACAAAATGAAATTTATTTTAAAAATTGGGAAAGAAAACAGGAGGAAAAAGTGCTGTAAAGGTGCCCAAGGAGCAAACTCGAGAGAGGTAAAAGTTCTGAGTAAATACAGTAAAGCATTACTTTCTTACCTTCTTGCAGTCTGTCCCTTAACCAACTGTTCTTGTTTGTGATGAAATGTTGAGCTGCACGTTGTTCCTATAAGGCTTAGAATCTCAGTGGATCTTGCTGGCAGAGATGGAGTGCCCTGGGTCCAAGGCCTGGGCAGGAACATCTAAAGGAAGTTAAGAGGCCCAACTTCTAGCAGCCCCTGGGCCCAGTCCTCCATGCAGCTCCGTTGCTATCCCACCTCTAATCTTTTACCAGCTGCCAGGCCCCTTCTGGATGTCCTGCCAGATATCTTGCCTGTCTTAGGGGCAATTCAAGCCTCATTCCTCCCTCAAGTCTTTTGCTCACAGAGGACTTGCTACCTTGACACACCCTGACACAGCTGCTGTTTATATTCTGTGAGCAGTTACTATGTCTGCCTCCTCAGCCCCCCAAAACCCACTGCCGTCAAGTCGATTCCAACTCATAGCGACCCTATAGGACAGAGTAGAACTGCCTTATAGGGTTTCCAAGGCTGTAAATCTTTACAGAAGTCGACTGCCACATCTTTCTCCTGTGGAGCAGCTGGTGGGTTCAAACCACTGACCTTTCAGTTAGCAGCTGAGCCCTTTAACCACTGCACCACCAGGGGTCCTTCCTCTGTCCCCCAGCCCCTGTTTAACCAGAAACCAGTTGCCATCAAGTCACTTCTGACTCATGGAGACCCATGTGTGTCAGAGTATAACTGTGCTCTATCAGGTTTTCAATGGCTGATTTTTTGGAAGTAGATCTCCAGGCCTTTTTTCCGAGGCACCTCTGAGTGGACTTGAACCTCCAACCTTGAAACTGCAGCCCATGTTTAAATGCAGAGCAGTTTGTCTTGTAACTTTCCTGTCTCTCCAGCGTTTTACACATATCAGAATCAACTCCACAGCCATGGGTTTTGGGTTTAGGGGGTCTTTTGTTAATCTATAAGGTTGTTGTCGAGTGATAACTTGTACTCTGTTTAAAATGAAAGTAGAGAGATTTATTGTGAACAAAGGCAGCTTGAGCTGGGAACATGTTGGATTTCACAAAGTGAAAACCAGTCCTCCGAAAAGCTGCAGTCACACGGACATGGTTATAGGTTTGAATCAGGAACTTAGCTTACAATATTGATTGGTAGGCCAGCAGTCAGTAAAGTGGAAGGTGGGATAGCTCAAATGCATATGAAGAAGTCAATGTTAACATTCTCAGGAATGCAGAAGGAGAAGTCGGGCCTCCACCTGAGTCAGCCACCCTAGGCATGCCAGGCACCTCAGTTTTGGAACCCTTGCACAAGGTGTCACTTACATTAATCATAGACTCTTCAGAACCCTCTGTGGGTGTTAATAACTTCATTTTACAGATGAGGGAATGGAAGTTCAAGTTCGCACATCTAGAAAGTGACAGAGCAGAATAGCGTTCTGGGTTTGCCTGGGAGTCTTTCTACTGTAGCCCTGGTACCTTCCCTGAGAGTGTGCATTGTCCCCTTAAGTGGCAGCGAGTTCCTCTGTCCACCCCCAGGGACTGTGGGAATGGACTTTCAAGTGCTCATTCCATTCCTGTCAGGCCTTGGGGCTCGGCCACTCTAGGAAGAGCGTGGGAGTCATTATGAGCTTTTAGGCAAGCTTTATCACTGCTTATATAGTGTCCTCTGTACTTGACCTGTGGACTTGGGCAGACAGAGCAAAGCCAGGCCCACAGTGTAAGCAAATGGGAGACAGGTCAGGTTGATTTGATTCTATTGACACCCTTGGATTACACTTCCAGGCCTTACTTCTGGGCTGCTCCAGAGACGTTGTTGTCGTCAGCTGCCATCGAGCTGGCCCTGACTCATGGTGACCCAGTGCACAGCAGAATGAAACACTGCCCAGGGCTGTGCCATCCTCATGATCGGGTGCAGATCTGACCATGGAGATCCATAGGGTTTTCATTGGCTAATTTTTGGAAGTAGATCACCAGACCTTTCTTCCTAGTTTGTCTTAGTCTGGAAGCTCCACTGAAACCTGCTCAACATCATAGTAACACCCAAGCTTCCAGTGACAGATGGGTGGTGGCTGTGCATGAGGTGCATTGGACAGGAATCAAACCCTGACCTCCTCCATGGCAGGTGAGAATTCTACCAGTGAACCCCCACCCTTGACTATCTTACTTCTCTTAAATCCAGAGTTATTCGTTACAAGTAGGTAAAGTGTCTGACTGCTTCGTTGTGTCTTCTGGTGCATTAGGCCTGAGTCTTTACGTATTGAAACACATTTGAGTATAATGCTCTTTTTATTTCTCTTTTACATTACAATTGCAGCATTACTTTGATGTTTTTTTCATTACATGTGTAAGTAAGTTATATTATTTGTGA